TCTATTTCTCAGAAAATGAGTTTCAAAGAATCAACATTAAACAGGTGTCTTTACCTCTAGATCTCCATAAAACTATGCTAATCCTAAGCTAATCCCTTTTGTGAATCTTCAGGTATGTGGCATCTCCCAAATTGACGGGACCACAATTTTTTTTAACCAAGCGTCCGGATAAATTGATTCTGAAGAACACATCCTAAGAAATGCTGCATTATATAGTAGGATATACAATATTAACACTGAAGAACATTAAATTAGTTTTTTGTGAAAAACCTGAGATGTCCTAATTTCCTAAAAAGCACACTAATTTGTACAAGGTAATATTCTACCTAAAATTATGACTTTAAAAAAATTGAACAATGTGGTCTTTTTTAGGACTAGAAAATCTTAAAGATATATGCAAGAAAAAATTAAACTTCAAAGTCTACATGCAAAATACCTTTTACTTGGAATTATACAAAATCAAAACTCCAAACAACTGTTTCTAAGAACTGCTGTTATGTTTTTAGGTGATATGATTACATAATAGCTTTCTTTAAATCTGCGTTCACTCTTATTTGTTAGTATATCATTTGTTTTATCTTTACTATAATTAACAAGCTGTAAGAACAAACAATTACAACCACATTAATACTTGACAGAATTTGGATGTCTGATAACACCTGGACATTGAGCAGTATCCACTTAAAATATGAGTATAGCTTTCATCCAAAGAAAATATTTTATTCAAAGTTCCCAAAACAAACTTCAAAAGTTATGTTGGGTTTGAACTAAAGAAAACAGGCCAAGTTTTTCTTGGTGGGAGCTGAAATCAATGTATACATTCTCATTAAACATCTGTCTCATGTCGCACTTTCCAAGTTTTTAAGAGTCTACCAGGCCAAACCCTTTGCTGCTTTTGCTGCTTTTGCTTTGCTTTTCCCCTTTCTTCTCTCTCTCTTTGCCTTCAGCCTTTTCCTTTGCCTCTGGTTCATCCATACTGGGTACTGTCCATGCTGGTCTAGAAGACTCTTTTTGTTTCTCTTAATGTCAGTCTCCATTTTCATGTCATCTGAATTAAAAGATGGAAAAATTATTAACACTCACGTATGGAAAAACAACCCTGTGAAAGCCTATTAATGTATTGAGAACATCAGAACTGAGGTAGTCTGAACCCACAGAAGAAAAAAATCCCTCATTTGTGGAATGCTCTTTGACTAACACTCTGAAAACTCCTTACAGCAAATTTGATGGACTCAGACACACGCTGCCACATACTCCTGCAACCATGGAAGACATAAGAAATGTCTGTGAGTAACTAAGGACACTATCTATTTACTCAATGAGAAACTTTCTAAAGAATGCTGTCATGATTGTCCTTCTCTGGAATAGTAAAATTAAATGGGAAACATTTAAGATGTATGGCTTTGAGTTAGTACATTAGTAGATATAAGGTTCTGAGCACATGTGAGTTCTAAGAATATTTCTCATATTAAGTGATACCTGAGTTAAACAAAATGTAATAGTTGAGCCAATAAATGTACCAATACTTCTAATGAACTGATTAGAAATGATTGGCCATTTCTAATGAACTTGAACTAAATTCTAATGAACTGAAAATAGAACTTGAAAGACCTGGACACATCCTGGGGCTGCCATACTTTTTCTATCCACATAATATCCAGATATCCAGATTTACTGATAGGAGACTTGGCAGGAAGCTCAGCACAACCATGCCATAGTATATCCATCACCAACCTTATCTATTGTGAGGGACGTCCCTCCCTGGGACCTTACCGTAGTATACAAGGTCTATTATCTCTAGTACCTGACATTGTATTAGACATTCATCATTGCTTCCACAGTGCCTAGAATAGTGCCTGGTATATAACAGCCTCTCAATAACTAGTTGTTGAATGATTATTGTAGGTGCTGTTCTAAGTTCTGGGGATACAGTGGTACAAAGAAGCTCCTTCCCCTCATAGAGTTTACAATGTTCTCCCATCCAAGTACTAACCAGGCCCGACCCTGCTTAGCTTCTGAGATCAGGCAAAACAGGGCATGTTCAGGGTGGTATGGCCATAGCCAAGTTTACAATATCCTGTTGAGGGGGAAATAACAAAGCAAACAAACAAAAGGAAACTTGCACACTGGTAATTCCAGCTACTAAGGAGGCTGAGATGAGAGGATTGATGGAGGCCAGAAGTTGGAGGCTGTAGTGTACCATGATCATACCTGTGAATAGTCACTATACTCTAGCCTGGGCAAAAAGCAAAACCCCATCTTTTTTTAAAGAAAAAGAGAGAAAATTTCAGCCTGTGGTAAGTGGTTTTTTAGAGAGGTACTAGAACCAGACAGACCTAGTAGGCTCTGGTAGGCTCATGGAAAGACAATGAGGCTTTAAACACAGAAGTGATATAATCTGATTCATATTCTAAAAAGATCATACTGGTTGAAATATGGAACTTAGAAGGGAGCAAGAGCTGAAGAAGAGAGAAGTAAAAAGGCTACTATTATGGAACAGGCAAGAGATGGCAGGTTTGTAGGGAGTAGGTGTGGGTGGGTAAAGGACAGTAAAAAAAAGTAAAAAGAATCACTAAAGGAAACTGATAGAATTATTTTTTTTTTAACGAAGCACATGAACTCACCTTTCTCATCTTTCACCACACACTGCACTTTCTCTTGGCAATGTTTGGGTACCACCACAGTTGCTATCTCTTCAACATCTTTCATTAAAACATCACTGTCTACTTTGAGAATACTTTTAAGTCTGCTGAGCTCCTTTGGAGCATTCTTTTTTCTCTTTTCAGCACGCATCTTCCTTTTCCACTTACTCCGTAAGCTTTTAGCCATGTTTTACCTGGAAGTTAACAAAAATACACATTCAAAAGTAAGTATTTAGTGTAGGTATGTGTGTGTGTGTGTGTGTGTGTGTGTGTGTGTGTGTGTGTGTGTCTGTGTGTGTGTGTTTACACACATATATAAAATAAGGCAAATCTTTAGAAAACCAGGCCAACAGGTATCTCTACAAAACAGAGGCAATGGAAGGGAAAATGCTTCCATCTGTTCACGGTTTATGATAGCTTCTTGTGTAACTTATGTAAGGATCAACACGGCACATACAGCCATTAAATAACAAGTCAGAACACCACATCAAACTTGTGGTCAAGGGCCAACTATAAATTAAGCCAATTCTGAAAGCTCCATCAGGTTGCTTACAAGATGCAGAAATTTAATTTCCCTAGAAATGCATCATCACCTTACATTTATGCAATAGCTTACAAACTGCAAATGATTTTATCACCACCCTACACCCAACCTTCATTATCCACCCCCTCAAGCCAACCTAACTACTTTAAATTTACTTATTTCCACTCTTGCTTTCTTTCCACTCCTCAGTCCCAGCCCCTAAATTCTCCACAAGGAGGTCAGTGTGTGAACTTTTTTAAAAAACTTAGAGCACACCACTGCCTTTCTTAGAATTCCTTAATGATTTCTCCCTCATATATCCAAGACCTACAAGGTCATTTGTGTTCTGCCCCCTCCCGCCTTTAATTCTATCTCATCTTACTCTCCACCACTCGCCACCGCAAGCTCCACCTATATGTGAAAAAAGTCCAAACTATGTCCAATTCAGTATCTTCACATTTGCTGTTCCTATGCCTAGGAACTGCGCTTCCCAAGGGTTGCTCCTTCATTCAGTACCTCAGAAAGGACTTCTCTGACCTCCGTAAGGTCCCTACTTAGTATGTGTTACAACTTGAAACTGTTGTTTGTTTTCTGTCACACACCCCTCCTCCCGTGGACTATAGACTCCAAGAAGGCAGAGGCTAAGGAGGTCTTGTTCGTCCATGGATTCCCCCAGTGCATAGAGCTTTACATATAGTAAGTTATATAAACATTTGCTGAACGGATGGCTAGTTGCGTAACATTTCTTGAACGCTAACAATCACAAACTCACTCTGCTCCTTTGTCTACAATAACCCAATCCTTGTGAGGGGCTAGAAGGGTTGAGGTAAACAACCTTGAGGGCCGAAGTTAACCTTAGCGGGACGGAACCACCGGGGAGGGTTCCACTTTACACAGTGCGCCAGTTTCGACACCAAGACCACCGGGAACCCTCGCCCTCGACGGAGACCTGCACCGCCGCACCGGAGCTCAAGCTTGGGCCAGCGAGGGTCAAGACTTCAAAAGAAATTCTTTAGGGGCGGCAAAGACCATACGACCATATGACCCACTGGACCCACGAGGCACGCACTTAACCCACCTGAGAAACTCACAAACGCACACACCACACGATCACGCCGACCGGAAGTCCCCATACTTCCGCCTTCCGGGCAGGGCTGGCCCAGGGCGGGCGCACTGCACGCTGGGAGCCAACACGTCCCGGAAAGTCTCGAGAGGCGGGGTCTATGGTAGCCCGGAGGTTACTCGTCTCTCTCGTTTGGCGTGGGCGCGGACCTTTAAGCTTGGGCTGTCCCAGTCAGTTATAGAAGGCGGATTGAAGAATACAAGAGAGAGTTGGCTCCAGGTAGGCCCGCTTCCTGGACGTGCGCAGGGTAGTCCCGAGACTCTAACACAGGGAGTGACCCGGCCGGAGGACTCTACCTGCTAGGTAGGGAGCTCGGAGCTGACCTTTAGATCTGGCCTCACCATTCACTTGACACTCTTGGATTTCCTTAGGTCGAATCATCCTAGATCACGTGTTCTTCCAGAGGCCGTATCGAGATCATCTTTGCAGCTTGTAGATTTTCCGGGTGGTGGTTACTGAGGTACACATACGTCAGAGCTTATCAAATTGTACACTTATATGTGCAACTTATTGCATGTCAATCATATCTCAAGGTTGTTACCCAAAACAGAAAACAAGCCTTTCCTACCATAAAAAAGTTTAAAGGATAAAATGATCACACTATTTCATTTCTAGTCTGATTACTTACATACCAGACAATGCTAAGCCTGGGACGATTATCTTAGGTCACGAACAACACTTATTTTATATATGCTTCTGATAGCATAGGCTCTGGAACCAGAGAAGTCTGTGTTGCATTCTTGGTTCCAACACTTGTGAATGATATAGGTGAGTAATTAATGTCTTAGAGTCTGGATGTCCTTGTCCCTAAAGTGAAGGTAATACAACCTAACTGCTCCTATGCAGGTGTTAAAAGCTCAACAAATGGTAGCCCTTTTTTTACATTATGCTTTCAAACATACAGCTACACAATACTATTTGTAAGCAGTGTTTTATACAGATCTACGCTATATACCAAAAAACAGGAAAGGAATTGTCTTTAATGATAGCCTGGTAAATTCCTGCTGGTTGTTAGTAAAGGAGAGTTCTTTCTGAGACAATTCGTGGGTACCTTTTTCCTTTAAATTTGTGCCCTTTAAGAAACCATGCAGGGCCGGGCGCGGTGGCTTACGCCTGTAATCCTAGCACTCTGGGAGGCCGAGGCCGGCGGATCCTTTGAGCTCAGGAGTTCGAGACCAGCCTGAGCAAGAGCGAGACCCCCTCTCTACTAAAAATAGAAAGAAATTAATCGGACAACTAAAAATATATAGAAAAAATTAGCTGGGCATGGTGGTGCATGCCTGTAGTCCCAGCTACTCGGGAGGCTGAGACAGAAGGATTGCTTGAGCCCAGGAGTTTGAGGTTGCTGTGAGCTAGGACGCCATGGCACTCTAGCCGGGGCAACACAGTGAGACTCTGTCTCAAAAAAAAAAGAAACCATGCATAGTATGTAAATTACTGAATTCAAATGATAACAAGGGTTTTTTTTGTTTTTTGTTTTTTTTTAACAGAGGCTGAAAACAACTTATAACCTGGAATGGAAAAAGGAAGCACGCCTGGGAAACCTGATTTCTTTAAATGGAAGGTTAAGTTCTTATAGAGCAAATGAATTTCTATTTTACAAGTTAACCATATATTAGACTTAGCCTTTCATGTTAGAATTTAGCCACCTTTCCCAAAAATATATGTGCACATTGCATTTTAGATTGGAGAGAGCTCAAATTCAGATAGTCCAAATTTACTGCATCTTGTTTAACATAGCGAGCCAAGACTTTTGAATAGACACTTGGCACTAGAAAAGAGAAAATAACTTACCTATTATGAAAATGTCATGGTGATAAAATACATGCCACAATCGAGCATTACAAATGCTTTAAAAAGCTGAATCAGAAGCACACAGAGAAAAGGCTTTGTGAAGACACAGCAAGCAGGAAGGAAGCCAAACACAAGCCAAGGAGAAAGGCCTCAGGAGAAACCAAATCTGCTGACACCATCATCACGGACTTTCAGCCTCCAGAACTACTTCAACTGCGAGGAAATGTCATTCAGATTTGGCCAACATCTCATCAAGCCCTCTGTGGTATTTCTTAAAACAGAACTGTCCTTTGCTCTTGTGAATAGGAAACCTGTGGTACCAGGACATGTCCTTGTGTGCCCGCTGCGGTCAGTGGAGCGATTCTGTGACCTACGTCCTGATGAAGTGGCTGACTTGTTTCTGGCGACCCAGAGAGTTGGGACAGTGGTGGAGAAACATTTCCAGGGGACCTCTCTCACCTTTTCCATGCAGGATGGCCCCGAAGCTGGACAGACTGTGAAACATGTTCATGTCCATGTTCTTCCCAGGAAGGCTGGAGACTTTCACAGGAATGACAGCATCTATGATGAGCTCCAGAAACATGACAAAGAAGAGAACTCCCAGGCCTCTTGGAGATCAGAGGAGGAAATGGCCGCAGAAGCTGCAGCTCTGCGGGTCTACTTTCAGTGACACAGGCATGAAAGTAACTCGAACAAATCCCAGGGTATAAGGAAATGAGCCTCATTCTCTAAGACTCTGTGGCATTGGAAATGAAGCTAAGCAGAGTTCATTACATCTTACAATTCTGCAACCTTTTGTGAAGTATTTTATTACACTTGTGGAACCATTGGGGTTGTTTCAGTTATAATAACTGACAGGCTAACTTCAAAACAAGAGCATCAACAGCCATTCCACACTTCCTTGGCTATGTACTTAGAATAGAACCTTTTCTAAATTGTCCCTTGGCCTGGATGGAAATAAAATGATAGTTAAAATGATAATAATAAAAAAAAGCTGAATCATGGGCTGCATTATTGAAAAACCCTTTTTTACTTATGTTCCTCACTAGTTTGTATAAAAGCAGTTATAACAGAATAGTTAGATGGCCTTTGTATATTTAAAAATCCTTGTTCATTCCCTCATTCGTACATTCGAGTATGCACTCTGTTATAGGCACTATGATGAATCTACAAGGGAAACCAAAGTACCATGTTCAGGAAACTTTAACCCCTGATGGAGAAACATTGCTGTGGCTCCTCACAGAGTTGGAAGGCAATGAAACTAGAGGCACAGCGGGTAGCACTGAGTACCTGACAGGAAGCAGACTGATTCATCAGTAAAAGGTGTGCTAACAGCAGTCCCCAGCCTTTTTGGTGCCAGGAACTGGTGTCATGGAAGACAATTTTTCCATGGACTGGGTTGGGGGGGATGGCGAGTAATAGGGAGTGGCTGTAAATACAGATGAAGCTTTGCTTGTCGGCCGCTCACCTCCTGCTGTGTGGCCCAGGTCCTAACAGGCCATGGACCGGTACCAGTCCATAGGCCGGGGGTTGGGGACCCAGTGCCTCACTACAGACTCCAGTCAGTGGGGCCTCTGCAGTCAAGCTTTTCCCATGGAGTCCCTGATCTGTATAATTTTTTAGTAAGAAACAGAAAGACTTCTGGGATTCAGAAAGTGACCCCCCATGTCCCCATTCCCTAGATGTTGAGAGGAGTTCAAGACAAAGCTCTATAAAGAATGAAAGGACAAAGCAAAAAGTTGCCAGCTGTTCCACAAAAGGCCTGCAGCTGGCTGTTGACACCACCAATCACAAGAACTGCATCAAGAGGATGGAAGCCAGGTCTGAGGCCTGCAGAGAAAAAATGAAGGCAGGTACACAGGGCCCACTGCACCTCTTTTCCCAGATTACATTCAGTAAATACAGAATTTCTCAGATACTGCTCTTTACTTGTTTCCTTGTTTTTCTCCTACCTCTTTGGCTGTTCTTTCTTTGTCCCTTGCACACGGAGTTGCCTGTTGTGTCCAAGTCCTGCTAATCCAATTTCTTAATATTTCTGGAGTCTATATTTTCACCTTTACTTGACGTAAAAAAATTGAAGTTATATCATCTAGCAATGCTTTAAAATGTTGTAGGTATATTCACTACCTAGGTGAACTTATACCTATACACAGTGGGACACATATAGGGACTTACATAGCAGCACTGATTATGATCATAAAAAAGGAAGAACCATATATAAAATTAATTGACAAAAGAATTTATTAATAACTATGATCCATTTATAAAATATTCTATACCTAAGATTTTCAAACTTCTTAGTCTTGGGATCCCTTTATACTCTTAATTATATCAGAAATTAAAACAATTTTTTGGAAAATTTAAGTCATGTACAAAGGATAAATTCCTTGCATGTTAAAATTTTTATGGAAAGTAACTGTATTTCTTAAACCCCAAAAAAATTTCGTGAAAAAAAGGCATCATTGTACATTTTTTAAATGTCAAATCTGCTTTTGCTTATTTAGCGTCTTCAGTCCATTCTGTCCTTTGAATTGAAAATACTACTATTGGCCAGGCGTGGTGGCTCATGCCTGTAATCCTAGCACTCTTGGAGGCCAAGGTGGAAGAATAGCTTGAGCTCAGGAGTTTGAGACCAGCCTGAGCAACAGTGAGACCCTGTCTCTACTAAAAATAGAAAAAATTAGCCGGGCGTGGTGGTGAATGCCTGTAGTCCCGGCTACCCGGGAGGCTGAGGCAGGAGGACACTTGAGCCCAGGAGTTTGAGGTTGCAGTGAGCTAGGCTGATGCCATGGCACTTGCCCAGGCAACAGAGTGAGACTCTGTCTCAAAAAAGAAAAAGAAAATAATACTATTAATACCAGGAGCCAACATTAATTAAGCATTTAGTTTATTTGGTATATCTATCTCATTTAATCCTTATAATAGCCCACTAAGCTAGGCATTATTATTATTCCCACTATAAAGATGAGGCAAAAGACCTAAGTAAGAAAGGATAGTAACTTGTCAAATGTCACGCAAATAGGTTGCATAGCAAGGAATCTAATCTTAGATGCTCTTACTATGCTATGTTAAATCTTAATCGCACTGCATCATGTACTTAGGTATCCAACAATAAATTGATGATGATGGAGTCAAATTTATATCTAAAAACCACTTGAGGTTAAATCAATACTACTAACTTATTTCAACGTAATAACTGGGAAGTGATGCATAGTGAGTGTTATAGGCTAAGTTGTATCCCCCAAAATTTCATATGATGAAATCCTAACCCCCAGTATATCAGAATGTGACTGTATTTGGAGACAGGTCTTTAAAGAGGTACTTAAGGGAAAATGAGGTCATTAGGATGGGCCTTAATCCAGTATGACTGGTGCCCTTAAAAGAGGAAATTTGGACACAGACAAGTACAGAGGGGAGACCATGTGAAGGCCTGGGGAGAAGACAGCCATCTGTAAACCAAAGAGAGAAGCCTCACAAGAAACCAACCCTGTCAACACCTTGATCTCGGACCCTTAGCCTCCAGAACTATGTGAAAATAAATTTCTGTTGTTTAAGCCACCTAGTCTGTGGTACTTTGTTACAGCAGCCCTAGCAAACTAATATGGTGAGGGAATTTGACAAAGTTTCATTGGTTACTGATACACTGACTTAACATGCTATATGGACCAACACAAATGAAACCACAAGGCATAATTTTCCAATTATTTTATTTTGAGATGTATATACTTAATGGCAGATGAACTAGTATATTTGGGGTCTTCTAACCACATTAGCATGCTATAATTTTAAAATGAAAC